TGCCTTTATTTCATTTTCTATACCTGTATAGGTTGAAGGGAGAAGGGTGCATGAATGTACAAGCATGCACACACACTTGCACAAATGCATGAGCACTGGTGATGCAATGAAACCAAGAGTTTAGCAGCACAGTGCAAGACCTGCAAGGTAAATCTCAGGAAACTGATAACATTTTTGCGACTTGTGAGTCAAGTAACTTATTAGTTGGCAGATAGATTTTCTGTGCTGTAACTTGCCATTGTTTATCTATGAAGGCAGTCTGGCCAGTACCTGGCCTACTTGATTATGTACAATTCCACCCTGAGAATTGTCAGCTCCACCTCCCAGCCCCCAAGGGCAGCCATCATCCGAAAATACAGCCCCATGAAGTCACAAGGGGACAGCTGCTTCCTTACACGCTTGTTGTCTGCAGGACTGTGGTAGAACTGGGCGATCACAGCTTCACTGCCATTTCTCACACCAAAGTTTAACTTTGCTGAAATTTTCTGGAATGACTTTCCATAGTCGTAAGACACGTACACCTGGAATGTGGAGGAAAGGGAAAAAAAAGAAAAGAGTTGGTGAGAAATGTGGTAGAAAGAGCTCTCACTTTCAAACATTCTGCCCTAGATCCTGAACGTGGTTCCCAATAGATCCCTAGATATGAAAAAGATAATCCATAAAGGAGAAGCAGGGATCCTCTCTGTCTGTCCTCAAGCACATAGGGGCAGAAAGCATGGGAGCCTTGCAGCCTGGAATACACAGGCCTCTTGTCTGAGGCCAAGAAAAGTCTCTGGAAGGGGAGACACCCAGATGAAAACAATGATAACCTCCTCCCCATGGCTGGGTTAAGTGCTGAACAGATTACATCCAGAGGCAGAGAAAATGTTGTTGTGTGAGGAGAAGGGATTGAGAATGTTTGCCATCTGTTGAAATGCCCCCCAAAGGTAATCTAAGACCTCATCCCTCTGCTAGGAAGTTCTGTTCCTATAGCATGCCAGAAGATTAAAAAAAAAAAAAAAAGCCTCGTGGGTCTCCACAGAGCAGCCCAAGAGATGGCAAAGAAAGAATGCTAAAAGACTGAGTATGCAAAGAGGTTAAATACATGGCTACCTGAGCCTCTTTCCCAGCACTCCTGTTTTCTGATTCTATACTCTGGGAGACTGAGCATGCAGCACAGCAGCAGGACCCATGCACAGGCCAATAGTCTCTCTCTCGGGCTTCTGGGTGTTCAGCTATCCAGAGCCACTGTAATAAAACCTAAGAAGGACTGTCATCCACTGGGTGCTTACTAGGTACCAGATACTGTACTGCCTTCAAATATACGATCTCAAGTAGCTCTCACCACAACCCTGTGTGGCAAATACAATTATGAAAATCATTGTCAGAGAAGACAACAGGGGCTAATGAGATTAGTTACCTGCCAAAGTAACACAGAAAGTAAGTTGTAGCATGGGATTCCTACCCAGGCTGCCTGCCTCCAAAGCCAAAATCCAAAAGCCATTACACCTCAGGTAATGAATAGAATGGAAATTGTCCGTGATTTTGTACCTCAACTTTACTACCTGTGTGACATCAAATACAATTAATGTAATCAGTGGGTTGAAAACAAGCCTGAAAGAGGAATATAATATTAATGATAACCTAGTTAGAATTGGAGTAAGCATTAAAGTAGAAGAATAGGTGAATTCCAAGAAGAATGGGAACTACTACACTAATTCCAGAAGGTATATTGCCTCCACTGCCCACTGATTCAACAGCAAACATGTTTTGAGGGTTTTATATGAGCCAGGTACTGTGCCGGACACCAGACATAAAAGACATGTCCTTTAGATACAATGTAAACATGTAAATGTTTATAAATAATGTCCACGTAAACAATGAACTACACAAGGTATGAGAGCACAGATGGGTCAAAATTTTTTAGAGGTCAAGGTCACAAGAGCACAGATAGAGCCTCTGCCAAAACCTGGCTCAGAGTAGAAGAAACCCTACCACAAACACACACATGTAACACAGCATGTGTTCCTAACTCCCAAATACACAGTAAGTGGCTGCCACAAGAGCAATTTCATAAATGCAGCAGGTTGAGAGTTCACAGATAATTTGAGTGGGTTGAAAGACAGAGTAATACTTTCTTGCTTCCATTCTCCTGGCCAAGAATGGACATTAAGGGTTCCTCTTAGGGTCAGAGGTCACATGTAACAAACAAATGGCTTTTCGTAAAGGGAACTCAGGCCCCTTCCAGCTCCAGCATCTTATAAATTGATAATCGACTAGGAGTTACCTCCTCAGAGGTACAAAGTGATAATTAGTTCACATTAGCGTAATATTTTTCAATACACAATATTGTTTTGTATACATTATCTCTCTTCATCTTTAAAAGCTGAGTTACTCTCACTTTTGCTTCCTTTGGTGTACCTGGAACATAGCAGGTACTCAGTAAAGCTTTCTGAAATCAATAAATATCATTATAAACCACAAAGTAAATGAATGTGTTCTATAAATGAATAAAAGAGAGTGAAATGAATCAGTAAGTGACTGAGTGAATAGTTTAAGAGATAATAAAAACTAAGACTCAGAGAAGTTAATGATTAGCCAAAGGTCATACTGCTAGTAAGTAACAAGACTACTGCGATGGGTTCCTGCAATTCCAAGTCTAGTTGTCTTTCCACTCTTACAAGTTAACCTTCTAGGAGAATGTTCTTTTTCACATACAGAGGTCAGACACTAAACCTACAGGCCAGGCATTGGAAGGAATGCTGGATGGCAAGCAGAAAAGACCAACATTAATAAAGTACAAGGCTTTCTGAGATTCTTGGCCATACTCCCTCCATTTTGCACTTAGAGGTACAACAACCCTCACCACCAAAAACTCTTCCTTAATTCTCACCTGTAAACAAAATCCATCTCTTTGGATCTTATGCTTGACAGAAGTTAAGAGTAAGCCCTATACCTAAGGGCTCTCAAATTGCTCATCAACCTCCCTTCCCTTCTCTGGGTTGAATGATTCCAACATAATATTTTTATCCTATCTTCATAATTCTTATTTCTATTTGATTAACATAGACCCTAAGCTCTAAAGAGTGAAGACCAAGCTAAGGGCTATGCACGCACTTTCATCCACAGTGAAGAGCCCAGAAAAGGCTTCTCTCTGTAGTGTCCAGATAACATCAAGGAGGCTGACTGCCTCATGGGCTCCACACTGCACCCCAACTGGTATATTCTGGTTTGTTTTTCTTTATGGCAGCACTAGGCTGCTGACTCACTCAGTGCCCACTAGGTCCTGCAGGTGAATCTGGGCAAGCACTGTGTACTTGATCAACTTTGCCTTCTAGTTTGTTTTTCATCCAGACACAGGGCTCTGCATTAATTAGTTCTCTCTGACCTCCATATGACACTACTCCCTAAAGAACAAAACAAAAGGGGGAGGGCAGTACTAAACTGCCAAAAGTTGCTAGTTAGATAACTGTCTCACCTGTAAAGACAATCCTTCATATGAATGGTTTTAAATTATTTTCCCTGAACTTCAAAATCATGTAATAATAGTGAAGAGGAGGAGGAAGAGGGAAAGGAGGAGAGGGGAAGAGGAGAAAAGAAGTGAAAAGTGAGGAGGAGAAGAAGAGTTAAAATGCAGAGAAAACGTTTCCTATCTAGCACTGTTCTAAATACTTTTATCAGTGCTTCTCAAACTGTAAAATGCCTACAAATCACCCCGCAGGACACTGTTCAATGCAGATTCTGATCCAGGAAGTCTGGGGTGAGACCAGAGATTCTGCATTTCTAACTGGCTCCTAGAAAATACCCATAGCTGCTGATCCACAGGCCATACTTCAAGAAGTAAAGTTTTTTTACAAGTACTGTTTCACTGACAAATGAGAAAATCAAGGGAAGGTTAACGACTTGGCCCAAGGCCAGACAGCTAATGCATGGCAGAGCCAGGATTCAAACTTGGGCACTTTGACTTCAGAGTCAGCGCTCAGCTAGATACCAGGTCCCCTGGGCTAACAAGTTCTTCACTGTAAGCAAGTATAATGTGACTTTAAATAATGTCATTTCCTTCAGTGTTGTCTCATTATTACATTGATGAGATACTTTGGACCTTAACTCTTGTTCATATCCATTAGCCTATACTAAAATCAGTTTCATTATACATTTTTAAGGGCTTGCTATCCTGTCCCTGCTCCCCAGTCAATCTCAGTGGCACCAACCATAACGTCACACCACACTGGGTACAAGGGCAGCAAGTCCTACCATTCCCAACATCTCCTCTGGTTGACTCTGATCTTGTGATGAGCACTATGTCTGGAGAACTCTGGCCAATTATGTTGCACCTGAGTACTTCCTAAAATAGGAGAGGGCAGAAACAAAGGAGTAGGAAGAGTCAAGATAAATAGTTTCCTGCACCTACCTGACCCATCACAGAGAAAGAGGAGTCCTGCAGGAGCCGTTCGTCATGGGAGCTCACTTGCTACCGGTTCTCAAAGACAGTATTCATTTCTTTCTGGTTTAACGGCACACTTTCTGGAATTCCAGCTCCCAGGTCCATCCCTTTTTTATATATTGAATATGAAATCACTTGGCCATTTTCCAACACTCATAGTTCCTTATTGGTATAGGCT